TCAGGTCCCTCCTCATGTGTCAGGTGCCCTCTCGTGTGTCAGGTGCCCTCCCTGTGTGTCAGGTCCCTCCCTGTGTGTCAGGTCCCTCCTCATGTGTCAGGTCCCTCCTCATGTGTCAGGTCCTCCTCATGTGTCAGGTCCTCCTCATGTGTCAGTCCCTCCTCAGTGTCAGGTGCCCTCTCATGTGTCAGGTGCCCTCCCTGTGTGTCAGGTCCCTCCCTGTGTGTCAGGTCCCTCCCCGTGTGTCAGGTCCCTCCTGGTGTGTGTGGAGCTTGTTGTGTTTGTGTTGTTTGAGGAAATCGAGCGTGTTTTTGTTGGACCTGGAGTTTGCGTCGTGACCCTGAGCGGCGCCTGACCTCGTTAAACCTCGTTAAGCTCGTTAAGCCCTGAGTGTAAACAGATCTTTATGTTTGTCTTTAATCAAACAAAATGGCCGCCGCTCATGTTTACATTTGGCTCCCTCCCTCTCCTCCCTCTCCTCCCTCTCCTCCCTCTCCTCCCTCTCCTCCCTCTCCTCCCTCTCTCCTCCCTCTCCTCCCTCTCCTCCCTCTCTCCTCTCTCTCCTCCCTCTCTCTTCTCTCTCTCTCCCCTCTATTCTCTTTCTCCTCTCTCTCTCCTCCATCCCTCCCTCTCCCCTCTCTCCATCCTTCTTTCTCTTCTTTTCGATCTCAGATAAACTCTTTTCTCTTTTCAGCCTCAGAAAACAAATAAACTGTTTAAAGCCGCTCTGTGTTTCGTTTTTTTTTTTGTTGTTGTTGTAACTCAGAGAAATCTTTTTCGCTTTTCTGGATCCAGCAGCACCTGTCACTGCAGCAGGGGTGCACCTGTCACTGTCACTGCAGCAGGGGTGCCCCTGCCGGACAGAGCTCCAGCTCGCGTCTCTTCCAGGGGGTTCCAGACCACAATTTGAGAAATGATGAAAAAGACGAGGAAAAGAGACATGGGAAGGAGACGCGGAGAGGAGCTAGGAGATGAGGGAAGGAGACATGGGAAGGAGACGAAGAGAGGAGCTAGGAGATGAGGGAAGGAGACAAACGTGTGAATAATTGAAACTAAAAGTGTCGAACTGAATAAAACAAAAAGTGATCAATAAAATATCACTGTGTTTATGGCAAGGAGCTAGGAGACAAGGAGATGAAGAGACAAGGAGACGAGTAAGGAGACAAGGAGGAGACAAGGAGACTAGGAGATGAGAAGAGAGAAGATGAGGAGATAGGACATAGGACATAGGATTCATTAACATTGTCGCACTTTGTTCAACTGTTTTTAGAGTGAATTTTAAATAAAGTCGAAGTTGAAGTTAGGAGAGAGGAGTGAGGAAACAGGAGATAGGATATAGGAGCTAGGAGACAGGAGGTGGCATAAATAATGGAGGAGAACATAATGGATCCATCAGACGTGACCCACAAACACAGAACACCCTCCAGGAACCACCACGCTCTGTCACAACATCTCAACATCTCCAGCAGGATGAGACCAAACCACAAACAACATCTGAACCAAACATCTGTCACAACGTCTCAACATCTGCAACGAGACGAGAAAACATCTGAACCAAACATCTGTCACAACGTCTCAGCATCTGCAACAAGATGAGAAAACATCTGAACCTGAACATTTGTGAGGAGAACCAACCATCTGTAGAACATGTGAACATCTGCAGAACAGCCCTCAGAACACACCACGCTCTTTCACAACATCTCAACATCTGCGAAGGAGACGACAGCACAAACATCTGTATCTGCTACAAACATCAGCGCAGGAAAGAGATGATCACTCAGAACATGTCCACATCTGCAATGAGGACGACGAGAAACAAGCTCAAACAAACATCTGTGAAGAGAAGAGCCAACGACAAACAAACAAAGAACATCTGCCACATCTGTACAAGAACGAACCATACAGGACATCTGGACATCTGCACAAATGATGGAGACTATGATGGTGACCACCATCATGAGTCATCATCATCATCATCACCATCACCATCATCATCATTAACGTCATCATCATCATCATCATCACCGTCATCATCATCATCATCATCATCACCGTCAATCATCATCATCATCAACGTCACCATCATCATCATCATCATCATCATCATGTTCAGTCCTGGTCATTAGTCCTGGTTTAGTCCTGGTTGAGTCCTGGTTTAGTCCTGGTTCAGTCCTGGTTTAGTCCTGGTTCAGTCCTGGTTAGTCCTGGTTTTAGTCCTGGTTCAGTCCTGGTTTGTCTGGTTCAGTCCTGGTTTAGTCCTGGTTCAGTCCTGGTTTAGTCCTGGTTTAGTCCTGGTTCAGTCCTGGTTTAGTCCTGGTTTAGTCCTGGTTCAGTCCTGGTTCAGTCCTGGTTCAGTCCTGGTTTAGTCCTGGTTCAGTCCTGGTTTAGTCCTGGTTTAGTCCTGGTTCAGTCCTGGTTCAGTCCTGGTTCAGTCCTGTTTAATCCTGGTTCAGTCCTGGTTTAATCCTGGTTCAGTCCTGGTTAGTCCTGGTTTAGTCCT